CAAACAAAATGTTAACACGTTGCGTATCTGCCCGCAATACTTTGGTTTTTCTTTTTCTTTTTTTGCGGCATGTCACGCTGCGGCTTTTGGTCAAAAGGTTTTTAACGTGAAAAGCAAATGCAAATGCAAATGCTGAGCCCTTTACAGCAGTTATAACATCAGCAGCAAACACAAATGCATTTGAAAAGGTCGGAACTGGGGCTCCCGGGGCGGGCTGTAGGCAGGGGGCGTATTGTGGTCTTGTAAGCGAACAGTTTAGCACGCAAATTTGTTTTGGTCTATTTGGGCTACAACGAGCCATAAACTGAATTTCTGTGAACGCCATAAAAAAGCCACAATATGTCGACAAAAAAAAAAAGAATAAGTTGAGCGCAAATTGATATTGAGGCCTCTAACTGAACTATTGATCTAAGCAAAAGCTGTCACTGCAGTGCGATATTTTGTAACTTCTTATTGCCTAGATAAAGATAAGTATTAAAAAAATATTTTATTTAATAATTGGGTAAAAGAAGTAGGAGAGATCTGTAGCTGTCCAGAGTTCAAAGATCCTCAGCTTAACAGATCTTATCTCATCTGTCATAAAGTAACTCTATATATTTCGAGTGCTCTATGCCTAAAGATTAAGTTTTTGTCTCATTGCATATCAGGAACTGACAAAGTACCGTCCGTTCATAGATATACAATTCCCAGATTGTTTCTATTTACAGGTCAGCAATGAGTCGAGCATTGGGACAGCTTGGCATGCTGTTGCGCAACATGTTTTATTAGCTAAGGGGCGTGGCCATGAAGTGCGTAAGTCTCCCCCACCCGCCACCACGAAAATGCTGAAGATTTGCAGTTGAGGAAAAGCTAGCGACACGCTTTGGTCAATTGCATAAACATCTTAAAAGACAGTTCCGAAAACTGCAAATTGCCACAAAATACCGACAACAACAACTATTTCAATTGGCAATAGCAGCTTGCCTAACAGTTAAGAAAAAAAAGACGAAGAAAAAACAAACATGAATAAACAAGAAAGAATCGCTTTAGCAGAATATTGAATACCCTGGTCAACATGATGCTCTTAAGGGGTATATGGGCATACAAGGTGAAAGGAATAAGTGTATTGCAATAGCCTAGCAGGCCTTAAGCTGGGATCCTTAGAGAAAAAAAATATGTAACTAAATTTTCGATTTTTTTTTTTAAATCTCTATTTAAAGTAAATTGTTTTAGTAATGGTTTAAAAAAAATATATTAAAATAAAAAAGAAATGCTTGAAGGAATAATTTTAAAATACTTATATATTCCACTAAAACGTTTAAGTAAAATTTTTGACAGCTAAAATCCAAAGAATAAAAGAATCTGTTTTAGAGTTCCGATTGAAATGCGCAAAATCTTAAATGTCTTACATTTTCAAACAGTCCAAATAGTGCCCCTGGCATATGAGTATTATGTAAATGGCATGGCTAAGCCTTAGATAATGCATTGCAATTCTTTGTCTATATGTAAATTGCATACACATAATCGTAGCTCTATAGCCACCCAAACATGACTCTACAGCGTATTTCTGTGCACTCTACCCGACAGCGGCTCAATACATTCACTGACGCAAGTCGCATGGCCCCTTCCAAGCAGCAAATACGCAGCCAGGGGCAGCTTAAGAAGCTTAAGTGGATGGGAGGCTAGCCGGGCAGGTTGCGAGGGGCGGCTGTCTGGCTTTGCTTTGGCAACAAATGCGGCCGCAACTAAATCAAGTCGCTGTTGCAGTTGCATTCACTGGACGTTGGCTGTTGCCGCTTGCCGCTTGCTGCTTGCCACTTGAAAAAGTGTGTGCAACATGTTGAGCAGACCGACCAACTGCCCCAACGTCCCACCACCGCCTCCACAGCCCGACCTCTCCATCGTCCCCCCATCGATTGCATTTAATGAGTCGCTGGTTCCGCGGAACCGAAAAGAAAAACTGGTTCAGCGTTCGGAGCGCGCAATTGCCACATTCCTTCTTGCGGCCCAATTCGCAGCCAGAAAGAGAATGTTTTGGCTAGACTTGCGCTTGGCGCTTGGCGGTTGGCGGTTGGCGGTTGGCGCTCGGCTTCACTTGGCTTGGCGGTTGCTGGTTCCGTTTGCAATTTTTTGTTGTCGCAAGCAGGCAGCAGGCAGCAACAAAAACGATGACAACGATATTTAACAGGGTATTGCTGCTGCTGCTGCTGTTGTTGTTGTTGTATTTAGCGTTTTTATGGCCAAGTGAGCTGCAAATTGTTGTTGGCAGGCGCTTGAGTAATTTGATATTGGCAACCAGAGGCTCACTTTCAATGGATTTGCGTCAGTTTTTCGTTTATTACTATGACTCTTTGCATACCCTGTAATCTGATGGGGTAGCATGGCTGTGCAGCTAAGGTTAGAAATAGAAGATAACTTCTATTTGAAGGCAAGTTACAGTTGTATGAAGATCTGGACTATGTCTAGATATTTCTCAGTTCGTCATTATTCGATACTTCTGATTTTTCATATCATATAAGTATCGGTGGGTATATAAGTTTTATGTCTCGATATGTAACAGGCAGTTGAAAGTATCCTAATCTTATCTAGCCTAGCTGTGGATCACTATGCATTAATAACTATATCGATTGTTATCGATTTTGACTCAATGCCATTTTTAGATTATCTCATAGATCGATTGATTTGAATATTTACATTCAAGAGTTAGTATTAAGAGTTACTCTTTTGACAGCTTGTCGAAAAAACGATAAATAACGATGTTGTTGATCGTTTTTAGCAGATTTTATTGGCCATAAATCTTAGTTGCCATTAGGGCTGCTCCTCGTTATATAACTCTATATACATTCTCACATATCTACAACAAAGAAAGTTATTTACAGGGCATCTAGTAGTCGTGCTCCAACTTTCTCTTCCTCTCTCTCTCTCTCTGTCTGTCATTCTCTGTTTACCTAGACCACTCTTACTTCTGTTATTCCATTGAGTCACTTGCCACCTGCCAACTATCACTCCTACTGCTGCTGCCTTTTCTACTTTGTAGTCTTTTGCTTCTTCTTCTTCTTCTTCTCCGTCTTCATTTTGTCAGTTTACGAGCTACTATAACTTTGCCCGTTACCCAAGACTAATTAGGCAGCTTAGACGCAACGTCATCCCGCAGACAAAGAAGTTAAATATACTATGTAAGCAACATAGATTCTTTGGCAGATCGCCTATACCCTGATGTTGGGTATATCGTTTATGGGAGTCTGTATGTCACATGTGTAAGTTAGCTGTAGAAGTTTGTTGGTAATTGACATAGATATACTTATGAATATAATACCGTATATAAATACATATTTACCATATTATGAATACTATATTGTCAAGAACTTTCTAGCTATGCATCTCTCTATGCTATATAGGCCATGCAGTATTGTTTAGGGTATTCAAGTGGCAGCTTAGATATTTCCTATAACTCTTCTCGATTGGAACTTGGAGTTTTTTCTACTTCTACGTAGGCGCCGCAAGAAAAAGAAACATAAATAGAAAAAAAAATAAAAAAACTAGTTTCTGTTGGCCAATATCTTGGCTATAATTATTTGTAGGCATTTTGCTAGTTGAGCGAGTCAAGCCAAGCCAAACCGAGCCAAGCCGAGCCGAGCCGAGCATTTTGGCCAATTGCCAAATCGCTTATCAACGCTTGGGGAGACCTAATGTCTGACAACTTGCACAGCTCAACTGAACTAATTCTCCAATCTCCAACTGGCAGCCCGCTTCTAGTTGGCCTAAATATGGCTAGCTGGCGTGAGTTTCAGCTGTCGCTGTGCCTGTAATAGTCACACATTAGTCTAATTACACAAATAGAGCTCTATTAGGTGCCGTATGCCTCAGGTTGAATTAAAGTATAATTTTTGCAAAAGTAATTAAGATTTTTTTTTTTTTTTGAATTATGAATAATTTCTGAAGTTATAAAAATTATAGTTATATAATGCATTATACATAATATCAGGCTATATCAGCTTTAACAGTTGAGGCTTGAGTACATCGCATCTAACATCTAAAAATGATATCTCCAAATTTGCTTTTATGAGTGTCTATGTCCATAAGAATAATATCAATGTGAATGAACCTTTAGGCAGAGCTCTCGTATGATATAAATGGGTCGATTTGGATGACTGCTATATGTGGGTTAATTTAAGAAAGAGAAAATCTAGAGATTTATAGCTAAATAATTTAAATGATATTCTAAGTCTGCTAAATGCGATTGAGAATTTCACAGATTTCTTCGCGATCTGTTGGTCTAAGACTCGATCACGCTCATCGAGTCAATTTAGTAGTGTGGCAGAAGCCTTAGTATTGTGTGGTTTCAGCAGGGTTTCGTATAGTACCAGTGTGTAGGTGTGTCTTACGTGAGATATGAAATTGAAATCGAACAAATAAATCGTAATAAGAGTTATATAATAAACAAAGCATGTATAAATGATTAGAGTATGCTCAACATGCTCCCGTATCTATTCTATGTAGAATGAAAGAAAAAAAAACTCCCATTATTGTGTTGCACACACACACACACACATATATTAAAATAGCTGCGGGATTATCACTGCTCGATCTGTGAGAATGAAGCGAAATCAATGCAAAATTGCATTGAGCAAGGGTTGGGGGCAGCTGGCTGAATGGGCTGTAGCTGGCCAGTCGAGTAGTTGGTTAGTTGGGGAAGCTTTGACGAAAATAAACAAAAAGCACGAATTTCGCATTCGCGTCACGAAGCACAATGCAATCGACGACGGCGACGATTCTTGACGAGATGTGCAGTCGCTCAAAATTCGGTTTGCATTTGGTTTTGAAATGTTTTTCGGTTGGCGGCTAAAAAAGACCAACGCGAAAACACACAGACAGAGACAAACAGACAGAGAGTGCGAGAGAGAGAGAGGGAGACACACACACACACACACACACAAAGACACCTGTTGAGCCGCCGAAAGCGCTTGGCTGAGCGGTCTTCGTACGCTTCGCGGCACTTGGACAATCAGTTAACGTTGAATGTTAGGTCTTGGCGGTCGCTGAATTATTCGCTGGCAAACAGCAGCAACCACAACTAGCGCGCCGCATCGAACGAACAAAATTAAATATATATCAATTTCAAATCGACGAAGAATTTGGCTAAAGAAATTCCAATTTAGTTTTGTGTGGCAAATTCTGTGGATTTTCTTTTCCGTCTGTGTTCTCGCCGCGTGTGTTCAATTCAATTTTTGTTTATATTTTTTTTTTATCTACTTTAATATTATTAGTTTTCGTGTTATGTGCAGCTGATTGGCTGATTGCATGCGCAAGGAACACATTTGCAGCGCTATATTCGGTGCCTCGTTTCCTGCTGGGATGCGCTGCCAAATGCTGGCGCTACTGGCGCTGCTGTGCAGCTGCCTGGGCACGCGTTGCGGCTGCTGGGCACTAGGTGGCGCTGCCGCCGCTGTCACGCACCCCACGTGCAATCTGAAGGATAATTGCAATTTGGGCGAAAATCTTCTAACGGTGGCCGGCGATGGTGATCCCGTTGAGACGCACATTGCCTCCATTTTCGAGGATAAGGTCAACTATAGCCTCAAACTGTTTGCGGATGATGCCAATGCGGCCACAACGACAACAACATCCAGCAACAGCGCCACAACAACAACGGTGCTGGACGTGCTGCACGATGCGCTCGCTGCGGGCAATCTCAGTGAGCTGCATCATCACGCCATCAGCAACTACACGCTGCGGCAGTTGAGTGACAGGCGTGAGGAGGAGCAGGATCAGGTGGAGGAGGAGGAGCGCGGTAAGTGATGGAAGCAAAACTAGAAGAGAGAGAGAGAGGGCGACAGAGAGACAGAGAGAGAGAGAGAGAGAGAGAGAGAGAGAGAGAGAGGGGGGTAGATAGAGCGAGGGAGCTGTAAGCTGAAAGCCTGAGAAATTTATGATATTATGAGGTAGTTTTACTGATTAAATAGAGATTCTTAGGAAATGGTCGATATTTATA